ACACATCATGGTAAAATCAATACATTCATCGCTCCGCTCAGAATCTAAAATAATACTTGGCCAACTCTGATGATGTTGTCATATGACATATRCGATTGGTCAGTCGAAAATAATAATATTGAATTCAAGTAATCGTAAAAATGTTGTTCTCGCCCTGTTCTGCKACCGCGTGTGCTGAACACCCGTGCAAATTGTGTTGCGTGCTCGTTGCGCCGCCGGAAATCGATCGTACCTACCCAAGTACATCGATCTTGCTCGTAACATCATTAATTATTTTAAATAGTAGCGTAGTTATAGCATGTACAATATTAATAATATTTCTATCGAGCACTCGTAATGTGCGCGGACGTTAAACGTTTTTTTTCATCGCAACGTAATAATATTCTGTGCATAGATTTCGATTAAGATTTAAAAGTGACCAATCACGACCACCGCCGTGATAAGGTCCCGACCCGACAGAATGCGTCGTAGATCGTTTCCCATCGAAATATCGTACAACATTATTATTGTACCGTATTTATAATATTATAATATACCCGATACCGAACACGTTATATTTTAGTATCGCGATAATTATTTACATCGACGGCCGTATGGTTAATTAAAACATCGGCGGGACATTAGAGAGACGATCACGCGAGCACTCGCGCTAAAACAATATACCTAATAATAATAATWATTATTATTATTATAATATTTTAGTCAGTAAGTGTATGTACCATCACAATATAGACCTGATAATATACAATTTGGAGTCCAAATTTTGGACTTTCCCTCCCAACGTCTGTCATAGGCCATAGCTCATAAGAAAATTGTTTCTTTTGAATACATTTATACCTATTGTTTTTGTTTCACCAAGCGCAGCTCACCCATCATCAGGTATATACGGATAACCTACCACAAAATGTACGCAGATACCATTGTTCATTATCATATTCACATAGTGGAGRCCAATATGAATACGTCCACGAGCCACATGGATAAATATCCATGATGTCCAGAGCMAAAATGTTTATAAATACATTATATCGTTTTTATAATTTTATCGTATTTTATCGTAAATAAGTATTGTTTTAATAAGACACGGACCGAAAGTTAATTTTTTTTTTTATTAAAGCCTCAACTAAGGTTATTAATTTATTAGAATCAATGTAATGTTTTTCAATTATTTTCGAGATTTTGAGTAATGATTGATATAGTAGCTAAATGACTAGTCTATTTAACAAAATGAAACTAAAAAATGTTGAAAAATTGTCTATAATAAAATTTTACCAACGCTAGCTTATACAATATTTTTATTGTATTATATCAATTATTGTGCGTGTGCCTCATCAGTCCTCTCAAAAAATAAAAAAATAAAATAAAATAATTAATAACCTAACCTGATTTCTGGCTAAAATGCGCTAATAATACCAAATAKCATGTACGTTACGAGTTTTACTTTGGGCAGAATTTCACAAAAAAATAATTGGATGCCGGTGGATAGGGGTGGGAGGATATTTGGGTAGAGACGGACCTGGAAACAATGTCGCACACTACTCGCGTGACAATAATATTACACATATTATTATTTTGGTCTATAAATTTAATAAATATATAATAGACCAAGCGTAAAAGTGAGATCTATCGATGGGAATTTATAAGGTTTTTTCTATTTTTTTGCTTGCATTTCGCAAGATATAATACCACACAATATTATATCATATCGTATCGGTGGTCGACCGACAATCGTTTCGCGAAAACCAGTTGTACATTACGCGAAGAATGTGCAGCAAACGGCGACGGCCGACGACAACCATCGCAGGTGACATTAAAAAAAGGAAGGGAAAAAATAATGTRAAAAAAAAAATTACAGAAAA